TATTATATATATATATATATCTCACTCTCTCACTCTTCTTTAATTACTTGCTATAGAAGAGATAGCATCAGTTGAGAAGACGGCTATAAGTGTGATATCTAGCATGGCCATGCAGCACATCACAGGCACATATCTATAGTCTACACGTACACGGAACAACGCAGCATAGAAGCGACGCCATACCGCATGCCAAGTCACGCCCGTGTTCTTAAACCACAGTAATCCCTAATCCGCCGCAGCAGACAAATTCAGCGTTGCCAGACAACCAGTGCTGTCTCGATCCGGCAATGTAGCCGATAGTATGACTTTCCACAGTTGCTCGTTCGGTGGACATAGTCTCCTGGTTTAAACAGTTGAGCTGTGCTCGCGAACGGGCGCAAGTCGATATGATGACGGAACGACCTGCTCGAGGGATGCGCGTCCGACAGTATAGTTTCAGGCTGCTCGAGACGCCGGCGCCGATCAATTCAGCGAAAGATTAGCTCAGTCATAACCCCATGACCACTAACTCTGTAATGTAAATGCAGTCATTTTAACAGCTTGATATAGTTTTTCGGCTTTTTCGACATTGATAATTGTGATGGTGATGAGCAGCGAGCGGGTTAAGCGAGCCAAACGTAATTCAAGCCCTTGACATAACGTCGCACGGCACGCTGACACCTCTGTACTCAAATTTGCACAGATACACGTACAGCGCTACCGATCAGACAATACAATGTCGCTCCTACCTTAACTACATATCACAGCGCACGAATTATGCGTCATTGCGTGGGGGCCATGTGGTATGCATTAGATGAGACGTAGCTGTTGCGTCACCAGCGCCCGTCCATGTGGTGTATGAGATGATAAAAGGAGAAAAGATAGAGGTAGCGTGTAGTGTCGCACACACACAGCACAACACCTCTCCTCTTGTGTTTATCTCTACCTAATAATACAACATGTGTGTACGTGTGTGATCCCGTGCATAGGTTGCTCGAGATAAGGGACGAGAGCCGAGCGAGCACGAGTGCGTAGCACGGGACACTGCGCGAAAAAATTCTCCTTATGTAGGCAGAACAGAGCAGACCCAAAAACCAGTAGACACAATGCCCGAACCAAGCCACGCGAAAAGACCACGCGAGCGCACACATCAATTCTGTGTATGTGGGTGTGATTGTAGTTATTGTCTTTTATGTCCGGATATGTAATTCCACACGCGTGCGACGTTATGCAAGGGCTTGAATTACGTTGCTCGGCTTAACCACGCTCGGCTGCCCGAATCACCATCACAATTTCATGTCGAAAAAAATGTCACTTTTGCGGAAAATTTTCATGATCGTTATTTTAATTGCGCACAGCGCCTGAAATATGCGCGCCATCCCTCGAGCAGTCGTCCGCATCACTGCTCTCCACGTCGTAACATCGGCACTGGAATCACTTCGGCTAAATAGCATCGAACGGTTGTCGTGGCAACGCGATCATTTTTGTCTGCTGCGCGGATTAGGGGATTACTGTGGTTAGAACACGGGCGTGTGCTTGGCATGCGGGTGTATGGCGTCGTTCTAGCACTGCGTTTTCGCGTGACGTGTAGACTTATAGATATGGTGCCTGTGATGGTGCGCTGCCATGGCCATGCTAAGAGATATTAGCACTTTTATAGCGCCGTCTTCTCAACTATGCCATCTCTTCTATAGCAAGAGTAATTAAAGAAGAGTGACTGAGAGAGTGCAGCTATTATATATAGTATATATTTGTATAGAGAGAGAGGGAAAGAGAGAATAAGAAGAGATAGGGAGAGAGAGAGAGAGAGGAGAGAGAGAGAGAGAGAGGCGGGAGGGAGATATAAGAGAGAGACGGAGAGAGGAGAGAGAGCATGAGAGAGAGGAGGACGGAGGAGAGGCGAGAGAGAGAGAGAGGGAGAGAGAGAGCGAGAGAGAGAGGAGAGAAGCAGAGAGAGAGGGAGAGAGAGACGACGAGAGAGAGAGCGAGAGAGAGAGAGAGAGTAGAAGAGAGAGAGAGCGAGAGAGAGACGAGAGATTGGAGAGATTCGAGAGAGATCAGAGAGAGAGAGAGAGAGAGACACACATAATTGCATATTTACAATGTGTAGCGTGCATAAGTTTGTTTCAGCGAACTCTGTGGAGAGTAATCTTAACGTAATCCTTTTGTGCACTAACTTAGCGCGGTTCTGCTAACAAAACCGCTGGTTACCGAACACGTATTACAGCAGTTCGGCACTATCGAATGCGTGACTGTGAAAATACTTTACATACGCTAAATGTAAAATTGATGACGGCAGAAGTTTCATAGATACCATTGTCTTACAACATGGTAACCTCAAACCATATTATATAACCCTAACCATAGCTCTAACCTTAACCTAACACTAGCTCCAACCCTAACTCTAACCCTACCCTAACACTAGCACAAACACTACCCCTAACCCTAACACTAGCACAAACCCAACCCTAACCCTAACACTAGCACAAACCCTAACCCTAACACTAGCACAAACCCTACCCCTGACCCTGACACCCACACGATACTCACTCACCGTAACCTTAAGTAAAACCTCTTACAATCTCCTGCCTCTAACAACAATTCTATGTCGACAGATAGTGATTCACCGGGGACTATATAGACTGCCGACATTCTCTCCCTCAACGGTGCTCACAACCCAGTGCGCATTCACCTATAGACTGCCCCCTCGGTGCTGTCGCTAATACAAATCATTGATCTCGCATTGATTTTAGACGCGCCATCAGATTGACCTGCCCGTGAGTAGACTCACGTATGAGGCGAATAATCTGCGCCAGGGATACAAGTACAACTTCAGAGTGACAGCGTGGACGAACCGTGGGCGAGGAGAGGGCACGGCGCCACATCACGAGGGAGCCAGCAGTTATCCGGTATGTGGACGTCACACGACGCGTAGCAACATCAGGTATGTGACGTCACAGACGCGTACGAACATCGGTACTGTGACGTCACAGACGTTAGCAGTATCGGTATGTGACGCTACAGACGCCGTAGCAACATCGCGTATGTGACGTCCAGACGCGTAAGCACACATCTGTATGTTGACGCGTCACAGACGCGTAGCAAAATCGGTACTGGGAACGTCATCAGACGATGTGGCAGGAATCGCGTATGTGACTCACAGACGCGTAGCCAACATCCGGCGTATGTGACGTCACAGACGCGTGCAACTCTGTATGTGACTCACAGACGTGCTAGCAGTATCGGTAGTGTACGTCACAGACGTGTAGCACATCGGTAGTGTGACGTCACGACGCCGTAGCACACGGTGGGTGACGTCACACAGACGCGTAGCAACATCAGTGGGCTGACGTCACAGACACGTAGCAACATCGGTGCCCTGGCTGAGTCACACAGACGCGTAGCACATCGGTATGTGACGTCACAGACGTGTAGCAACATCTGTATGTGACGTCACGACGCGAAGCAACATCTGTAATGTGACGTCACAGGAGACGTGTAGCCAACATGTACTTTGTGACGTCACACAGACGCGTAGCAACATCGGTATGTGACGTCACAGACGCGTAGCAACATCGGTATGTGACGTCACAGACGCGTAGCAACATCGGTGGGTGACGTCACAGACGCGTAGCAACATCGGTGGGTGACGTCACAGACGCGTAGCAACATCGGTATGTGACATCACAGACGCATAGCAACATCGGTGGGTGACGTCACAGACGCATAGCAACATCTGTATGTGACGTCACAGACGCGTAGCAACATCGGTGGGTGACGTCACAGACGCATAGCAACATCTGTATGTGACGTCACAGACGCGTAGCAACATCGGTATGTAAAATCTGGGATATTGATAATCGTGGACATTTGTCGCCTGAATAAATCACGCCACGTGTCCTTCGTTCAGTTCCAGCCGGAATCGTGTCATTTGGTCAGAAGGTCACTGCAAGGTGGAAGAGTGACATAACTCTCTCTTGTCACACGGTTGGGATTCCAGCTCCCGACGTCTCATGGAAACACAAGTAAACTACATATTAGTTTCTCCGATATTTAAAACGCATTCTGCTGAACATAACAATATCGCTTCATCAGGAATCTAGCAGTTAGTAGATCGTCAATCGTATGACGTTGCAGTGACGTCGCAGTTATAGTGATTTCTTTGTTTTACTGTTTTCGTCTGCTCAGTGGCGTCAGCATCAGGATGGCTGCGGATGTTGCCATGGCGATCCTAGCTAACAACTCGCTGCAGCTTTCCAAGGTTCGTCTGGAACATTCTGGCAACTACACATGTCATATCTCGAATAAGTATGGAACGGATGGGATTACCCACCAACTCGTGGTCAAAGGTTAGAAAAATTACGCATATTTTAGATACTACCTCTTATATTATAATATAGATATCAGGAGTTAATAATAGACAAATTATTTGTTTATTATTAACTCCTGATATATATATATATATATACTAAAACATTAAGTCTAGGTATTAAGTCTACTTTATTCTGTTCATAAATATGTTGCTGATAATAGGTATATTATAGCTTATGTATTATTATACCGTGCGCAAGTTGCGTACAATGCGTACAAGAATATCTGTATGTAATCGTTATAATTCAATGCGAATATGCAACAAAAACATTAATGCTCTTTTTGGTTTAACAGCGCCACCTATGCCACCATCCGTGTCTATACTGTCGGCCAAAACGCACACCATTAAGCTCAAGTGGACGACGGTCAGTGATGGTGGCAGCGCCGTGAGTGGTGAGACTAATGACGTTTATTCGTTCATTGATTCATTCGTTCGTGCATTGTTAGTTCGCTCGATAGGTTAGTTGTTCGTTTGTTCGTTCGCTTCTCTATCCGTCCGTCCATCCATCCATTCGTCCATGTATCCGTCCATCCATCCGTCCGTCCATCCATCTATCCATCCATCCATCCATCTATCCATCCATCCCTCCCTCCCTTCCTCTCTACCACCTGTCCGTTCCGTCCCTCCCGTCGTATCACTTAGTCATCTATCCATCCCTCCATCCATCCATCCAATCATCCATCCATCCATCCATCCATCCCATCCATCCGATCCATCCGATGACATCAATTCTATCCGCATCTATCCATCCATTCCATCTATCCATCATCCATCCACTCCATCCATCATCCGTGTGTTTCCATCCATCCATTCCATCAATCCATCCTCCATCCATCCCTTCCCTGCCAGTGCTCCTTAACACATGGCCCCTGTGTTCTCCTTCAGCGCGAACTCTCCACTACCAAGAGCAGAGTTTAAAAGGCGAGCCGTGTGTGACGGGTGGCTGTGTGTTTTGGTTATATCCAAGCTCTCTGCCTCGATTTGGTGGTCCTCTGCCATTGAAGGACATCGCGGCGTGTCTGTTGTGGTCGCGCTGTTCCTCCATCCAATCTAAGTGTGGCCTGACTCTGGTGTGTGCGATAGCCCCGCGCCGGGTGCCCCGGCGGGGGTCATACTGCATATGTGCCATGTGACTGCATAGTGCTACACTGTACGTGCATAGTGCAGGAAATGCATACGATGCATAATGCATACGCTGCATAATGCATTAGTGCATAGTGCATAGTGCATACACCGTTAATGCCATAGTGCAGAGTGCATAGCGTGCCATGGTGGCACTGGTGCATGGTTTGTAGTGCATAGTGCATAGTGAAAGTGCCATAGTGCATAGTGCATAGCCTGCATGGGCCATGTGCATACACTGTAGTGCATAGGTGCATTAGTGGATATTCATAGTGCATGCGCCATAGTGCATAGCTGCATTATTGCATTGTGCATAGTGCATACTGCATAGTGCAAAGTGCATTCGTGCACCGTGCATAGCTGCAGTACAGGCGTGTAGCTGCATAGTTGCAGAGTGCAGAGTGCTAGTGCATATGCATGAGTGATACACTGTAATGCATAGTGCAGAGTGCATAGTGCATAGTGGCCATTCAGCGCCATAGTACATAGGTGCATAGTGCATAGTTCATAGTGCATAGTTGCATAGTGCAAGTGCATGTGCCATTGTTTGCATTAACGCACTGTAGTGCATGTGCATAGTGATATCTGCATAGTGCATAAGCGATAGATGCATACCTGCATAGTGCATGGTGGCCATAGTGCTACTGTTCATTCGTGCACTTAGTGCATCGTGCACCGTGCATAGTGCATACACTGTAGCTGCATAGTGGCAGAGTGCGAGTGCATAGTGCATAGTGCATAGTGCATGACAGCTGTAATGCATTAGTGCAGAGTGCATAGTGCATAGTGCATCGCGCCATAGCTGCATAGTGCATAGTGCTATAGTCATAGTGCAATTAGTGGTCCATTCGGTGCATGGTGCATAGTGCATTAGGCATGCGCGATGCATAGTGCCATAGTCGCATAGCAGCATTAATGCTTAGTGCATAGTGCATATGCATATGTGCATAGTGCATAGATGATAGCATAGGTGCATACACTGTATGCATAGTGCAGAGTGCATAGTTGCAGTATCGCATAGCGCATATGCCATAGTGCATCAGTGCATAGTGCATAGTGCATAGTGCATAGTGCATAGTGTATAGTGCAGTAGGGCATAGTGCATCGACGCATAGTGCATCCGCAATAGCTGCACAGTGCCATAGTGCATCGGTGCATTAGTGTCATTACCTGACATAGTGCAAGGTGCATAGTCATCGTTGCATCGCTGCATGTGCATTCTACACTGCATAGTGCATATGCATAGATGCATAATGCCATAGTGCATAGTGCATACACTGGTATTGCATAGTGCATAGGCCAGAGTGCGCAGAGTGCATAGTGCATAGTGATAGCCGCATAGTGCATGCGTGCATCGTTGCATCGTGGCATTAGTGCACTAACACTTAGTGCATAGTGCATAACTGCATCAATACATAGTGCATACTGCATACACTGTAGATGCATAGTGATAGTGCATAGTGCATAGTGCAGTAGTTGCATAGGTGCATTGGTGTGCATGGCGTGCATGGTGCAGTATGCATAGTGCGAGAGTACGTGCAGCACGGCGAGTGAGTGGCATGCGGGGTGCGTGTGGGGGGGAGGGCATGGGGCATAGTGCATAGGCTATGCATAGTGCAATAGTGCATAGTGCATATTGCATAGTGTCATAGGTGGCATGCGCTTTGATAGGTGCATAGGGGCATAGCTGGTCATAGCTGCACGACACTGTAGTGCGATACTGCACTGAGTGCAGTCAGGTGGCATAGTGCATAGGTTGCGATAATGCATAGTGCCTATTTAGTGCATAGGCCAGTACACTGTAGGTGCAGTAGTTGCAGACGTGCTGAGTGCATAGTGCATAGCTGCATTAGTGCATAGCGCATAGCTGTGGCATAGTGGGCATAGTGCATTCAGCGCCATAGTGTTCATAGTGCATACGTGCATAGTGCATACTTCCATAGTGCCAT